TTCTTCTTGAGGCCAGTTGAAGAGTGTACATGTGCGTGAGTGGAAGAGCTTTAAGTGTTCAAAAATGGGGACCAAAAACAGTTTGAAATGCTCCCTTTATAATGTTTCACCACAGGAGCAAATCCAGCGAGCAATTCAAAGCTCCCAATTGCTCCATTAGCTGGAAGAGGAGAACAAGAACCTCACAACAATATCTGGTGTACAGTCATGTTTCCAAAGAAAGTAAGAAAGCCTAAACCTTTCCCAAGTGCTGTTTTACACCATAATAGGCTCACTATATCATTACAAATAATAGTAATTAATTTTCCTCAAAACATTGAGACATTTTGTTGAAGTGGTAAACTGGAATATTATCAAGGATGTTTGGTGAAAAATCTGAAAAGCCACAAACGTTTACTGTTTTCTGCATAAAATGTTGGTTTCATCTTACATTAATACTTTAATATTTTTCACAGAAAGTCTCAAAGTGAAAAAAAATTCAAAAATTACAAAAACTCTTCCAATGTTACCCTGTAGGAAGAAAAGCTTTGAAATCATTTCTTCTCCATTTGGAAATGGAATAAGCAAAGATATACCACTTTACTATGTTCCTTTCTTCTTCTTATTTTGCTGCTTCCCACTGGTTTTTTTTCCAGCAAGGAGACGCCATGATGTTGAGCAGGCTTTTAAAATCCCTGGTTACTGAATCACACAAGATATATGGCTACCAGCAGTTATACTCAAAAGTCCACATTTGTGGGTCTGACTTTGGAGGATTTGATCATTTATGAATTTAATTAAATTGTTGTCTCTAGGAATTTCTAAGTCCCCCAGTAAAATTTATTTCATCCAGTAAAATTCTGGTGGAAGTTGAATGCTGGAAGACCCAGAACTTCCTGGAGAGAACATATCTGGGAGTTGGATCAAAGAGTTATGTTGGAGGACCTAGAGTAGAGCTTTTCAAATGTTGCTGATACACTTTCTAGACATGGACCATTTTGCAACATTTTGCAAATTTTGTTATTCCGTTTTACTAGCAAACTTGAAGTTAAACCAACCCCTTATAACAGATACAGACACTTGTACAAATTGTAATAGTGAAATGTATAGGGACACAACAGATATCATAATAACATTTTCATTTATATTTTAAAAATATATTATATATTGGTTATTTTACATAGATTCAGAGGTTTATCAGTATGTTTGTACAATACACCTACACACTAAAACTGACACACAAATGTGAAGCGGCACACAGTATGGAAAACTTTAACCTAGAGATTCCCAGAGAGATGTTCTCTCAGGTAAAAAATAGGTGCTTTTAAAATGTGTGTGTCATGTCCCCCTTCACCCCATTTTCATGGGTGTCCTGCAACACTAACCCCAGAGAATGAGAAGGGTCGACAAAATATGCAAAATTATATTGACTAGGATTGCCAAGATCAATGAGTATTATATTTATTTTTGCTCACTGTGATCTTTGATTCTATTCTCTTGGAACACATGCATATGCTCAGAGCTACTAGGGACACATGGGATGTTTTTTTAGATGGAAAAGGAAAGGGGTGAATCCCAGGAGCAGCAGTGGGTAGAAACCTCCCCTGAGCTTGATCAGAATAGAATAGAACTTACATTAGTTGATTGGAATCTAATTTGAATAAGGTCTGTATTCGCTTGTGAAAGTTTGGCACATCCCAAACTGAGTCCACTGAGGCCTGTCCATCACAAATTGTGATTTGAATGCTAGAAAAGTGATGTCTCACTGCCTTATCCTCCCCACTTCCCTGAGCAGGAAGATGATCCAAGAGCAGCTGCTGCAAGGTCAGTTTCCTCTTGGAAGGAGAGAGTATCAGAGACTTATGGTGCCTTTTGAAATATCTGCATATTTACAATTATGAAAGATGTGCACAGGGGAGAGGGCAATCTTTAAAGCTGCAGCATTTTCTCCAAATGGCTATTACCTTATCATATAGGAAGCACTTCTTTGAAGATACAAAACATTTGTTGTGCAATGAATTGATTCGCTGGAAAGGACCTCGGCATAAAAGCACTTGAAGCGTTGAATATGTTTCAGCTGTAGGGAATGGGCATCTATATCACTGACTCTGATCTTAACAGACAGACATGTTATTACCTTTTTTCTTGTTTAAATGTTGCTATTGCTTTTGTATGAAGGCTACACTTGAGAATGGAGACTAACTTTTTTCAAGATTTTGATAAGGATACTGTTTTTTGGTGTCTGAAATCTGGTGAGAACCTGCTCTCTACTGAAATTTTTATTGTTAATTGAACTTTATTTTTTCCATCTTAATTAATTAACATCGATGGAGCCATCTGTGCTCCAGTGAATGCTGAATAACATCAGTAAGAATAATTTTTGTGAGAATAATTTAGGACGTTGGAAGTACATTCATGTATGGACATAATTAACTCTTCCGGTTGAACTAAAGAAAACTAAGCTCATCTATGTTTACAATTTGATGAATCTTTAAGTAGTCAGAAATGAATGGGTTCATCAATAACCAGCACTGTTGTTTTAACAGGAACACTGGCTTAGAAATGTATGAGCTGTTTTTGTAATGTTGATATCTTGCTGCAATTATTTCAAAACCCAAGTGAACCGGTGGTCTATTATATGATAATGTTTTACTGCCTTGGGAAAGAACCTCTACATGGTAAGAATCCTTGGCGATTTCACCCAGAGGGAAAATTTATTCAATACAAAACGTCTTAGAAACATGTCAACCCTTTGGGTGCTGTCCATTTCGTATTGACGTTTCATGGGTTTCAGTGATTTGGCTTGTGTTCTCAAAATCTTCTGGAAGCCAAAACCTTGCAATCTTGGTTTGAAGAGTTCTAACATGTTAGAATTTGTCAATGTGGATGGAACTGCAATTTATCTTTTTACTAAAACAAGGAAATAATACAAGAAGCACAGGGTAAAACTGAAGAATGGAAGAGTGCAAGCATGCAGCTAGTTCCCAGTATATCAAAAAAAAATTGGTAGCTTCACAGGAACTAATCCAAAGTACAGGAATCTACCATCATTTAGTTAATACTTATAATTTCATTTTGAGAGCTAAGGACAGTTGATGTGAAGACTACTTGAAAGATTGTATCTCCCTGTATCAACCTGCCAGATACTAGAGATTTACAGCAGAAGGCTTTTTCTTGGTCTCATCACCATCACAAGATTCCTTGGTGAAGAAACATCCCAGTGGTTGCTCCCATTCTCTGGAATGCTCTTAAGTAGGAAGCTGGGCTGGTCCATTCCATGCTGGCAGGTGAAGGTATTTTCATTTAAGTGTTTCATGTAGAAGCAGGGGTGGTTTTTTTATTGGGTATGTTCAACCTATGTTTTAAATGTTGTGTATTTTAAACTAATTATGGTATGAGTTTTAAATGTTTTAAGATTATGTGGTGAATGCTTTTGAATTGTTTTTGGAAGCTACCTTGGATCTCTGGGAAAAGGAAGCAAACAAAATAAATAAAACTAAAGAAAACATGCTATCTTGCTTGTTTCTCTTTTGCTCGGCTGTGCAAGAACCATCATTCACATTGAAGTGGCCATAATCCTCTCCAGTCCCTCCAAAAATTCAGCCTGTCTGTCCCATCAAGCAGCAATTAAAAGGTAGAAAAGCCTCCTTTGATCTCTATGTACTGCTTGACCCTCAGTTATAGTACTGGGAAAGGAATCTCTCAGTACAAGAATGAAATGTTCAAGTATTTTGAAAACAACTCAGGAAGCAGATTGAAATTTTCACTGTAGGTCATCCAGAGCTACTGTGTTTCTGTGTCAGTGTTAAGAGGCTTAGTATTTTTGCCCTCTGCCTGCTGTGAAGCAAAATATTAGAGCTTTTCAGGACTACACTTTATCTCCCAGTAGTCTTATCATAAACTATGAAATGGAGATCTGTGTTTTTGAGCTTGTGGTTTAATTGCTTATTTAACAGCCTGTGGTTTCTCAGAGATGAAGTCTCCAGGAAAGCTTTTTGACATCTCAGTATCACTAAGCAATGGAGAGAAGAACTGTTAAAAATACAGCTAACCAGGATAGATTAAACAACTAGCAACGTTTAGATATTAAATCTCCCCTGCCTCCGAGAGTGTGCGTACATGTGAATGAATGAACAAATGAACAGCCTGACATATTAAAATCTTTAGAATTCTCCAACATTTTTTCCTCATGGTGCTTTATAAAAAAATCCCTCTGTGCCTGAGACAAACAGATTGTTCTCACTGCATAGCATTGCCGTAATTGCTGTACTCAGCAATTCCCACTTGGCATCATGCGGACTGGGATTAACCCTAATCTCCTATGAAATGGATTTATCATTGTGTATATGAATAAAAGAACAGCTCCTGTTCAATAAAAGTAGATGCATCCTCAGTGAACTCACTGATTCCAGCTCTATTGGGAGCAAATGTGACCAGAATAAGTTCTGTATATTTATTGCTTCAGAAAGCTCAGTCTTCTGAAATGTTTCTTCTTCAGCCTGGTTACAGCAGATGGAGAGGTTAGAGGAAAGTTCATTTGATCACATCTGCTGAGGAACCAGATCTATTGGGCTCTACTCTACACCAACAGTAGCCATTCCGTGATGCAAGGAGCAGAGGGAGACACGGGAGGAAGGAACCCTCCCTCAGCTAAGCTGGGAGACCACATCTCTGGAGGTTTCTCTTCCTGAATTGTTTCTTTTACAGCTAAGTGGATATGATAACTTTGTAACTAAGGACTAGTATCTGTGTTTTCCTCTTTCCTCTCAAACTGTATTCATATTCGCTATATCTTTTAGATTACAATCCTGTAAGCAAGTCTTGCAATTTTTGTTTGCTTGCTAAAGATCTTGACAGTGTTAAAAAAATTCAGAGGAATTTAGAACAGCCAATATATGTGGCAAATAATTATAAAAACAATAAAACCAATTAACAATTGGCTACCCCACAATTATTTTATGAAGGAAACCAGATAGACAAGGAATCTATTTTGAAAATGAAACCCCAAAGTTGAATATTACCTTGTGCAAGTGCCACCATTGCGGCATGGATGATAGTCACAGATAGGAACATTGCAGTTCTCGATGTTCCTTCCTCCCAAAGCCTCATCAATGATGAACAGTTCTTTGTTGTTCACTTGGAATTCCCTTATGCAGCCTCTGAAGCCATGAATCCAACCTGAGCTTGGGTGAATCTTAACATGATGAGGGACATTTCCAAGGAATACTGGCCCAAAAGTAACCTGAAATGATTATTTTAAAGATATCAGTCACAACTATTGATATAGGGAGTATTGGTTGCTAAAATGAGAGAAAGGCACACAAAAAGTAATGGTGTGAATCAGTCTAAACTAATATATGCTTTTTTAGCTATGACATAATAGTTCCATACATCGCGTTTCTTGGGTGAAATTCATCAAGGTAGTTACAAATGTGTAACCATTGTTGTCCATAGTTACTTAGTGTCTCTTGGACAGACCCACTTAGTCACGATTTTCCAGGCAGCAGCAGCTGTGATCAGCAGAGGTCTGTTTCTGTGTTGATTAAGAAGCAGTTGGTTGATGTTCCCATACCAACCTGTGAATTATTTCTAGTGTGATGACCAGAAGCAAGATCAATGCCATCATCCTTCCTCACTCTGGAAATCAATCATGAGGGGATGTGGGAACATCAACCACTTACTTCCCCATTGATGGGAAAATACTTCATTTATTTCAGTGGCTGTTACCTGGTAATTGAAGATAAGAGGACCTTTATGGTCCCCATGTACTAGGGAATACATGGGGATCATGAATATGAAACAGTAATAGATGTGTAACACTAGGTTACATGTTCGTAATCTTTGTAAGCTCCATCCTGTGTTTCTGTCTGGGTGAAAAAAAAGAAACACTGTGTTCACTATGAAACAATTTACATCTGCATATACTTTGAAAGCAATAGATATCATCCAGGAGTACTGGTATTAATTCCAACACAAAATTTCTAAGTGTCTGCCATAAATGGATACCACCAGGAGATTTAACAGGTTAATTTCAATTAATTTCTTTTAAAAAGTGAAATATGCTCTCAGTGCCTTGTGAGAGACATTAAAATAGATATGCTAACATTAGAGTTTGCAGGCTCACCTGAGTCAGCTGATGTTGCAGAGAGATTTCCTGGCGTACAGGAGAACTTTCATTTGCAGTCATTTCAATCAGGCCATAACCTTCAAACTTGCTAAGGGGGAGTATATATCTGGAAGGAAGCACATAAATTCGTGATTGTTTAAGATGCCATTAGGCAATGTTATAAAAATGTTCCAATGACATGAGACTTTCACTCTGGAAGAAAGGCTGGGTTTATGCAGATGATAGTTGAGAGTGAGAGAATTTAGGATTGACAGTTGACTCATACATCTCAGAAGAAAATGAATAAGCAAGCTGTGTATAAATCAGAACCAAAATGAGATCTATAGATGTGTCCATCATATGGTGACACTGGGCTATGAAAGCTTTCACATTAATCCTGTTGTCCATTCACCAGTGATCCCAATTGTAAGATAGACACTGAGTGGATGAGATGACCCAGAATCCAGAAAACCAATAATTCAGATTGTTCCCCTGAAAAAAAGGTTCCCGTTTTAAATTTTTCTTAGTGCTTCTTCTTGGAGCATTTGAAATGTATAGGGAATATAAAAGTGAAGGCTGGAAATAACTTTTTACATGTGTAAGCAAATACTGATAAGCTGTAGTGCTCACTGTGGCTGATATACACTTTCCCTTGTGTAGGTGATTGTTGAACAAGTACCATCAGCGCTGAATGATAGGGAACATTATAGAGAGACATTTCCCTTTCCCTGGACTACAAAGGAAATAGAAATGGAATGCAAAATAAGGGGCTATACCTCTGAGCATCAAGATTACACTGCGATAGACTTATCACTACTCATGAAGGATGCTGTTAATATATACTCTGGCACTGAGCTTCAGAGATAAAGAAAAAGACAAGGTTAAGAAAACTCATAAAATAAATACCAGGAATGCTCAATAAACTATTGAGAAATCTTTAGGGCTTTTTGAACACGATAAAATCTTTAGGGAAATGCTGTACACATTATCAACAATACAACCCCTCTCCCAAAGGGTGGCATTCACATAATTGTTTTTTAATTATTATTTTCAGAAGGGGAAAAATCAAGAGTGCTAATTATTATTTCAGTGGTTGTCAAATGCAAGAAGATAATGGGCAAGAGCTTAATTAAAATGAGCACTCAGTTCTGTGAAAGCCGTCTTTCTCACCATGCTTCATGTTGAAATTCCACTTAACATTTGCGCCTGGCAACCTAATGTTAACATTTGTCCCCAATCAAGAGATCCATCTGTGCGCAGATTTGCTCATGCATGAATTGCTTGCATGCATAGGGACCCCTACTGAATGGAGAGAACTACGCTGCATGCGGACAGAAAATATCAAACATGTATCCTCCCCACGACAGAAGAAAGAGCAGCTAAGCCAGGAATGGGCAATCTGTGGTTCTCTACATTTTTCTGAACTTCAAAATATTTCCACAAATATCATGTTGGCTGTGGCATTTGGAAATCTGAAGTCTGTAAAGGAATTTTCCTGTGTTCTGCACACAACACAACTGGCTTTTCTGCTATGAGACAGCCTCCAAAGGCCAATGTGTTATTAGGAGTGGCCCCCTGGTGGTGCAGCAGGTTAAATTGCTGAGCTGGTGAACTTGTTAACCAAAATGTTGGCAGTTCGAATCCAGGGAGTGGGGTGTGCTCCCACTGTTAGGCCTAGCTTCTGCCAACCTAGCAGTTTGAAAACATGCAAATGTGAGCAGATCAAATGGGTACAGCTTCTGCAGGAAGGTAATGGTGCTCCTTGCAGGCATGCTGGCCACATGACCTTGGCGGTGTCTATGGGCAATGCTACTCTTTGGCTTAGAAATGGAGATGAGCACCACCCCCCAGAGTCGGACACAACTAGACTTAATGTCAAGGGAAACCTTTACCTATACAGTACAATATAAAGTGCTTCTATGCTTCACTGAAAACCCATAAACTGTTTTGCAGACATACCAACTCTCATAGATATGACTCCCTAGAATGAGGTTGCTGCTACCAGTTACATTTTAAAAATTCTTGTTATGATTAGTAAGGCATGTGAACCTTTGACTCATTACAACTATACAGCGATTAGTATTCCAAGCACATTGCATGCTTGCAAAAATGTGTTTGTTTCTATAACTATTTGTGCATGTCGTGTCTTTAACTGATGTGGAAATAGCTTCTTTACATTTTAAAAATTGGGCAGGCTTCCTGTATATAAACTCAGCAGGAGGATTCACACATTGAAGCTTTTTTTTTTTTGCAACAAGATGTCTACCAGATACAATTAGAAAGGAATGGGGGGGGGGGGGAGGAAGACTCTGATATTCTTGCCTCAAGACATTCCAAAGCTGAATTTTTCATAATTAACCTTATAACGTAAGATATCGACCTGACCTTATGCTAAAACAGCAGCGATGGCAATGTCTAATCAAATATCTGTTCAGAGCTCCAAAGCCAAACCTAATAGTAGAATTTTCAATGAATTGAGCACATTTTTGATGTGACAAAGCTTTTCTGTTCATTTGGCACATGTTTCTGTTTCAAATTTTATCTTCATTTAAAAGTCTACATTCCCACATCTCCCTATAGTAATAACCACATCATGTTTACAGCTTTCTAAGGATCACAGTATATATGAGCTAATCCCAGAACTTTTAAAAAATGAAAATACTCAATAAATCATAAAATGTTTCTTGGTCCTAAAATAAGTTCTGGTGTCCAGTTATAGCTCTTTCTGTCCCCTTCTCTCATTGGGAATACCAGAAAAGTGAAGCAGAGTGTTGGTTTGCACTAGCCAGTATATCCAGGGCCTGTCTAGTAAGTGTGCCCGGTTGGGGACTCTATGGACTACACTGATTCTGCTGACCCATCACCCCACCTTTCACATTGTTGCCACTTCCAGCCAGCTCCATGCGAGTATCTGGCCATTGCAAGTATCCCATTCTGACCTTACATAACCATATTTCCACAAATATCATGTTGGCTGTGGCATTTGGAAATCTGAAGTCTGTAAAGGAATCTCTGGGAGCAGTGATAGTGGTGATACCTTTCCCTTCACTGGTAATGGTGGCTGTGCCCCATGTGGACACTGGACCAGTCCAAATCAGCCTGAATCCTGTTGTCCACACTGCCCGGAAGCTAGAGAATTACTCAAGAGTTTCAGACAAACTCAGGAGCATCTACTGATTTTTCCTATCATGGGGTTAAACTGTCAAACCGTAACGTGGGTGAAGGTGGTGGTTAATGCCTCCTTACAAGAAGGCAGGATTCCAGCAGGCCTAAAGGAGGTCATCATAAAACTACTGTTGAAAAACCATTTAATCAAACAACTTTTGGCCAGTTTCCAATCTCCCCTTTTTGAGCAAAGTCCTGGAATGTGTGGTGTCCTTGCAACTCCAGGAGTTCTTGGAGGAAATTGTTTATCTGGATCCAGCACAGTCTGGCTTTAGGTTGGGGCATGAAACTGAAACAGCCATGATCACTTTAGTGGATGATCTACTCAGAGAACTCGACAGGGGGAGTGTGTCCCTGTTGGTTATCCTGGGCCTCTCAACAGTCTTTGATACCATAGACCACAGTATAGAATGCCTCGTGGAAATGGGGCTTGGAAGTACTGTTTGCAGTGGTTCCAGTCCTTCCTAGTGATCGCTCTCAGAAGATATTGATAAAGAACATCTCCTCAACCCTGCAGCCTTTTACCTGTGGAGTCCTGCAGGATTCAATATTGTCTTTCATGTTGTTTAATATCTACATGAAGCCACTGGGGGAGATCATCCAGATTTTGTAGTTTGATGCCATCTGTATACAGATGACATTCAACTCTACCATTCCTTTCCACCTACTGCTAAGGAGGCTGTTCATGTACTGAACCAGTGCTTAGCAGCTATGATGATCTGGATGTGGTGAACAAATTGAAATTGAATCCAGACAAGACGGAGGTACTCCTGGTTAGTTGAAAGGCTGAACAGGGTATAGGGTTACAGCCAGTGCTGGATGTGATTCCACTCCTCCTGAAGACACGGGTTCACCACTTGGGAATTATCCTGGATTCACCACTGAGCCTGGAATCCCAGATTTTGGTGATGGCCAGGGGAGCTTTCGCACAACTGTGCACCAGTTGTGCCTTTACCTTGGGAAGTCAGACTTGTCCACGGCGGTTAATGCTCTTGTTATCCCTTGAATAGACTACTGCAATGCTCTCTACGTGGATTGCCTTTGAGGACTGTCTGGAAGCTCCAAGTAGTCCAATGGGCAGCATCCAGATTCCTCACTGGAGCAATGTACATGGAGCATATAATCTCTCTGTTACGTCAGCTCCACTGGCTACAGTTTGCTACCGGGCACAATTCAAAGTGCTGGTTTTAGCCTATAAAGCCCTGAATGGTTCTGGCATTTTGCAGAATGGAAAAAAATAATGATGGGAGTTGTAGTTTGGTGAGACTTCTACCAGATAGCACTGATGCCTCACCAAACCACAACCAGTATCCCATAGCATTGAACCATTGCAGTTAAAGGGGTGTCAAGCTGCATTAATTCTTATGATGTACATCATTGGTGAAATTTATGGGTCCCCAGATGATTTGATCTTCAACTTCCAGAAATCCTAACAGCTGGTCAACTGGTTGGGATTTCTGGGAGTTGTAGGCCAAAACACCTGGGGATTCACAAGTTGAGAACCACTGATGTAGATGCATCCTAAGGTGTTGAAACATTCAGCACCTTTGATAGCACATTTAACATTCAAACCCAAAATCAGAGAGAATTTCATGCCCCCATGAGACAGAAGCCACCAGATACCCTTGCACACAATCCAAAATGATCTTTACAACAGGTAAAACTCTATCTCCCTAAAGCATTTGAGGCAATGTGAAACTCATGAAAGCCATTTCCTTTTTTTCCTTCCATATTCTTAACCTTAGCTAGCATAATAATTTCATTTTCCTCTGCATCCCCCTGTCTCCATGGCAATCAGACAACCCCCCTCTTTTCCTGACCACTTTAGAAGATGCTACTGAGCATGCCACCCCCACCTCCCCATCCCCAAGACGGTAAAATTAAAGCAGTTTAACATCACAATAAAGGCAATGGCTCAATGCTATGGAAGCCTGTGAGATATAGTACTAGCAGAGAAAGCTA